ACACACACACACACACACACACACACACACACACACACACACACACACACACACACACACACACACACATTTTTAGTCACTTCAGCTGGGTCTGTAGGACAGGGGTTCTCAAACATTTTGGTTCTGCGGACCCCTTGCAAGTAAGGTTGGGCGATATTGGCAAAATTTAATCACGATTAACTGTCGTATTTAGCTGATAACGATTAAACTGACGGTTAATCCCCTGGACACTCTTATGTCCAAGTCACATGACCAATTTATTGGAAAAGATTTGCTTTTCATAAAAATGTGTCCCAAATTGTCAAAATTACAGTCTTCAGGCTATACATCAAATTTTAAAATGTGTTGATAGATAAATAAATTACAGAATTTTTTTTAATATTCATCATATTTGAAGCGGCGAGAAGCACCAAGTGGACTCTGCCTGGTGGCATTAATCGTCTTAATTGTCAAGTGCCGAAAAATAATCGATGAATGTTTTTCTGACGATTAATTGCACACGATACGATTATGCCCAATCCTACTTGCAAGGATGAAAAATTATCAGCAGGGACCCCCTAATAATCCCAAGGCTGTTTAAAAAGAATTTACCATCATGTTAACCCCTAAATGCCGTGGGAATATCATTTTTGGTTTGGTTTAGTATTTTTTTGACTAGAGCATTGATCCCCATGTGCATTTTTTAAAATAAAAAACCAAATTAAAAATTTATTGAATTTTTTGAGGACCCTAAAGATATGGCTCACAGACCCCTGGGGGTCCTGGGACCCCAGTTTGAGAATCTCTGCTGTAGGGGAACAAATGGACATGCTGCATGACATTAACAAATATTTAGGTTTCGGACACATCAACCATCGATATGAGAACAGAGTTTATTGTTTGTTTGTTTGTTTTGTTTGCTGCTTTTAAATAACTTTATCCTAAATGTAACCACTTTCCAAACCTCTAAAACTCCACATCTAATTTTAAACATTTCCAAGGATTGCCGAAAATACTCATAAGAACCCTGATGTTTACATGTTGCAGGATTCTGAGTGGAAGGGTTTTTATTGTCTGACAAACATAACTTCTGAAATGTAAAGTGGATGTCGTGGTTAGATCGTCAACATGTCCAAAGAAACTCTATAAGCTTGTTAAGTTAGGAGTTGAAAAAGGAAACGATGGTGAATAATAATAAGAAGTCAATTTAACGTACTAATATAGACAAAAACATGAAACAAAACCTAGTTTTATTTTATGCTTTTAAAACCTTATTTTTTACATTTAAATCATTCAGTTGGGGTCTATAAAAACTGGAACTGCACTGCTTTGGTCCGAGTTCCTGCTTATTGTAGCACCACAGACAGAAATTTAGAACGAGGGGCATCAGGGTGTCGTTACAACGCCCTGTTCGATTTTCAGACTCTCTTTCAGATGATTGATGCCTCAGAGCACCGTGACAAACCTTAGGTTTGTCGAGTGTTGTTTGTTTTACACTACGCACATTTTATAAACTTTACRAGCAGCGTGAGAGTGACCGCATTTATTTTCTGAAGCCAGAGGAAGACACACAGAGAATAAATTGTGCTGACTTGGATAGCGGTGGTGGGTAGCGATGTCACATCTTCAGTAGCTGCTGTTTTCACAAATTCTTCTCCCTGTCTGTTTGTAACTTTATAGAAATTTCATAAACTTCTGTACGCTTCATAAGTGTGCAAGCGGGTGTTCCCTACTATGTGGGGACCCTTTTTGGCACACACACCAACTTGTGGGGACCAACTGGTACTTATGGATGGATGTATGGATGTATGGATGGATGGATGGATGGATGGATGATGGATGTATGGATGTATGGATGGATGGATGGATGGATGGATGGATGGATGGATGGATGGATGGATGGATGGATGGATGGATGGATGGATGGATGGAGATGTTAGTGGGTCAGGGGTCTGGTTTAGGACTAAGGTGTGAATTGAGTTTAGGTAAGTTTTAGGGTCAGGGTTAACCTGTGAGGTTAAGTTTAGGGTAAGGAGTCAGGGTTAGGCTGTAGAAATTAATGGACGTTAATGCAATGTCCCCAWAAAGATAGCTCTACTAGATCGTGCCTGTTTGTGTGTGTGTTTGTGTGCGCTGCCTGTCCACAGGCCCCGCTTTCACCTCTGTGCAACTCAGTCTCTTTAAATGCAAATGAAGCACTTTGCAAACTGCACCTCTCCACAGCGTTTGGCCATTTTTGTAGTTTGATAGCAGAGCTTTGATTATGTAGTGATGCAGAAACGTTTTATTTACAAATGAATTAAAAGATGTCAACAAGGGAAGACTTGTCCCTCCAGCCTTACATGTTGGAGCCAGAGTCTGACCCAGAGAAATAGAAGGAAGATGAAGTGGCAGAACCGTGGATTTGTGAAATTGGTTAGCCAGAAGTTCATGAACTTGTTTAATGGTTTTGCAGCAAATACTGTTAGATAATTGCTTTAAGAAAAACGTAACGGGGAATGGAGAAAAATGAACGAACTGAAAAGTATGACCCTTATAGAATATAAAGATATCTCCACAGCACCAGGAGAAACTACATTCTAATTTCCTGCACTCCTAGAGACTGCAAGTAAACAACAAACTGTATTTAACAGCTAAAAAAAGTGGATTTTGCATATGTTCCATTTAAAATGCCAGAAACATGGAGCTGTACAAGAGATTCCTCTGGAACATCAACATGTCTGTCATTTGGTCCAAATTACAATTTCTGACTTAAACTGCCATAAAAACTCATATACCCCTGCGTAGCTCAGTAAGATGCAATAAATATATTTAAAAAAAAACAAGTTTTATCTTTCATGTGAGCAAAGTTGTTCTTTTAACTTTTAACAATCTTATCAAAACGTAAACATCAATGTGATCAACTTCAAACTTCTACTAAACTTTCACTTTAGGACCAAGTTCTAGACGTCTACAAATATTTTAGACTCTGAGTTTGTCAACATGTTTTGAAACCCGTCAACACCAGGACCACCCCGTGTACAAAGAAAGTCCTACCTCATAAACTGACTGAAGGCTTTATAGTTGGTGAGCTCCCTGTAGTCCTCCTCTGTGAAGGTATGATCAACATCCTCCAGACCCCACTCCTTTGCCAGCTGGGCAGAAGTCTTCTGCTCTACAGGCTGCTGAGAAAAAAAAAATCATTTTCATTCATATCTTTTAGCTCAGCTCTCAGAGGCCAATCAAGCTTTTTTTTGTTTGTTTGTTTTTTTCACCTTGGTGGTTTCCTCCTGGCTGCTGTCTCGGTCCCCATCGCCTTTTTTCTTCTTCTTGGTTTTCTTCTCCTTCCTTTCTTTGTGCTTCTTCTTCTTCTTTTTCTCCCCGGAGCCGTAGTTGCTGGCCGCGCTGTCCGAGTTCTCGCCATAGTCTCGCTCTCTGTCGGAGTTTCGCTCTACATCGCTGTCCTGGGCAAGTGGAAGAAAGAATACAAATCAAATGCTCCAGAATGCACAGCCATCCGGACGGACAAGACTGATCAACTTACTATCTTTTTTCGTTTTTTCGCTTTGACCGGTTTCCCCTCTTTGTCCTTCTTCTTCGCGTCCTTTTTTTTCTTGGGCCGGCCTTTCTTCCTGATCGGGACCTCTCTGTCTGATATCTCGTCGTCTGGAATTAAGGGGAACACGGAAGACCGCTAAAAAAAAGCTTTTARTTCGAGCTGAATAATCTTGTCAAAATGTTCCCTAGCTAATCCCTGCTGAACACATCAAAGGCTGAATGAGAGCTGTGGCATCAGCTGACCTCTGACCTTATCTGAATTGTGGCATGATGCTGAATTAGGGTTCTAAGTAGATCTGACAGCTGGTGTCAGTGATACAGGAAGAAGATAACTGGTTCATGACTCTTGCAACCTTTCAGGTAAATATGTTTTAGAGAATGTCCTGATGCATCTCAGTAATCCAGGTAAAAAATCAAAAGGAAAAAAAATTGTATAGGTCTTCTGGACGGGTTCTTCTCTAATGAAACGTTTCGTCTCTCCTCCAAGAGAC